CTTTGGAGGGAGTTGAAAGTCTGTGATTCCCAGAGACAGCCCCAAAACATCACTGCTCTAGAGGAGATCTGCATGGAGGAATGGGCCAAAATACCAGCAACAGTGTGTGAAAACCTTGTGAAGACTTACAGAAAACATTTGACCTGTGTCATTGCCTGTGGTCCTCTGTAGCTCAGCTGGTAGAGCACGGCGCTTGTAACACCAAGGTAGTGGGTTCGATCCCCGGGACCACCCATACACAAAAAAAAAATATTTATGCACGCATGACTGTAAGTCGCTTTGGATAAAAGCGTCTGCTAAATAGCATATTATTATTATTATATTGCCAACAAAGGGTATATAACAAAGTATTGAGAAACTTTTGTTATTGACCAAATACTTATTTTCCACCATAATTTGCAAATAAATGCATTAAAAATCCTACAATGTGATTTTCTGGAAATTTTTTTCTCATTTTGTCTGTCATAGTTGACGTGTACCTATGATGAAAATTACAGGCCTCTCATCTTTTTAAGTGGGAGAACTTCCACAATTGGTGGCTGACTAAATCCTTTTTTCCCCACTGTAATTGTCTGCATCACTTCCAATATGTTTTTTTTTCTTTATTTTCTATCGCATATACACATATACATATATACATACAGTGAGGGAAAAAAGTATTTGATCCCCTGCTGATTTTGTAAGTTTGCCCACTGACAAAGAAATGATCAGTCTATAATTTTAATGGTAGGTTTATTTGAACAGTGAGAGACAGAATAACAACAAAAAAATCCAGAAAAACGCATGTCAAAAATGTTATAAATTGATTTGCATTTTAATGAGGTAATAAGTATTTGACCCCTCTGCAAAACATTACTTAGTGCTTGGTGGCAAAACCCTTGTTGGCAATCACAGAGGTCAGATGTTTCTTGTAATTGGCCATCAGGTTTGCACACATCTCAGGAGGGATTTTGTCCCACTCCTCTTTGCAGATCTTCTCCAAGTCATTAAGGTTTTGAGTCTGACGTTTGGCAACTCGAACCTTCAGCTCCCTCCACAGATTTTCTATGGGATTAAGGTCTGGAGACTGGCTAGGCCACTCCAGGACCTTAATGTGCTTCTTCTTGAGCCACTCCTTTGTTGCCTTGGCTGTGTGTTTTGAGACATTGTCATGCTGGAATACCCATCCACGACCCATTTTCAATGCCCTGGCTGAGGGAAGGAGGTTCTCACCCAAGATTTGACGGTACATGGCCCCGTCCATCGTCCTTTTGATGCGGTGAAGTTGTCCTGTCCCCTTAGCAGAAAAACACCCCAAAGCATAATGTTTCCACCTCCATGTTTGACGGTGGGGATGGTGTTCTTGGGGTCATAGGCAGCATTCCCCCTCCTCCAAACACGGCGCGTTGAGTTGATGCCAAAGAGCTCGATTTTGGTCTCATTTGACCACAACACTTTCACCCAGTTCTACTCTGAATCATTCAGATGTTCATTGGCAAACTTCAGACGGGCATGTATATGTGCTTTCTTGAGCAGGGGGACCTTGCGGGTGCTGCAGGATTTCAGTCCATCACGGTGTAGTGTGTTATCAATTGTTTTCTTGGTGACTATGGTCCCAGCTGCCTTGAGATCATTGACAAGATCCTCCCGTGTAGACTGGGCTGATTCCTCACCTTTCTCATGATCATTGCAACTCCACGAGGTGAGATCTTGCATGGAGCCCCAGGCCAAGGGAGATTTACAGTTCTTTTGTGTTTCTTCCATTTGCGAATAATCGCACGAACTGTTGTCACCTTCTCACCAAGCTGCTTGGCGATGGTCTTGTAGCCCATTCCAGCCTTGTGTAGGTCTACAATCTTGTCCCTGACATCCTTGGAGAGCTCTTTGGTCTTGGCCATGGTGGAGAGTTTGGAATCTGATTGATTGATTGCTTCTGTGGACAGGTGTCTTTTATACAGGTAACAAGCTGAGATTAGGAGCACTCCCTTTAAGAGTGTGCTCCTAATCTCAGCTCGTTACCTGTATAAAAGACACCTGGGAGCCAGAAATCTTTCTGATTGAGAGGGGATCAAATACTTATTTCCCTCATTAAAATGCAAATCAATTTATAACATTTTTGACATGCGTACATACATATATACATACATACATATCCTTGAAAAATATATATATATTTCCCTTTATTACTTTCCACTACAGGCTACCTGATTCAACTACACTCCTACTGGTCCAGATTCTCCTTTATCATGGCCGACGACATTCTTCCTCAACACACATCTTCCCACTACACTCGGCTCTTCTTCTTCCTTGCTGTCCATAACCACGTCTATCCGTTCAACACACTGTTGCCGCACCTTCATCTGCTGCATTGCTTGCAGAGCACGCACTGATGGCGTTTTTCCAAAACCCAACTTCCGTTCCTTAGCCAGACTTGTAAAGTGGGCTATCTTTGACTTCTCCATGTTTTCTCCGTCTCTGTCCCATGTTACATCTCAACTGAGTACCTGGCTAGTGGCTACATGCGACCACCCCTCATTCAACTCATTGAGGGCTTGATGATTAGTTGACAAGTTGAATCAGGGGTGCTTTTCAGGGGCTACAACAAAAAAACACATAGAAAAAGAGTGTGGTGTTGGGGGAGTTTGGAAACACTGCTCTAAAGAATATAATATTACGTTTTGTATTTTGGTAAGAATAGATAGGGCTCCATTGGTTCGTAATGGTGCTGCCTGGGTGTTTTTGTCCATTGCAGAATGTGTCTAAAACATAAGTGAGAGAGAGCAGTGCCAGAGAAAACCCATTATGGCTAATGAACATAACAAGTCTGCAGCTTCTGTCTATTCAGACAGAAACATACTAGACAATCATAGTCTTTTCTGCTGAGGCTATTTTCCCCAAGTCTTTTCTCTGAAATGCAGGCGAGCAGTACGTCTGCTGGGTCAGGGTGAAAGTATAGGGTGTTTGTGGTCGCAATGATGAACTAGTTGTTATCCGCTGGTGAAACTGTATAAAGAATACTATAGGGTGGTTTAAAACCCCCTCAGCTACAAGGTCTTAAAACCCCCTCAGCTACAAGGTCTTTAAAACCCCCTCAGCTACAAGGTCTTAAAAACCCCTCAGCTACAAGGTCTTTGGGTAGCTTTCTGTATTATGTGGTATCACCATGGAAACTGCCTCAATAACCGTAACCACCAGATTCCAGCAGTAGCGACAGTTGGTCCTGATCCAGATGTGGATGATTATGTCACAAACACACACACACACCCCGGCTGATAACCCAGCATGCATCATTCATGTCTTTACATCTTTGAGACGGAGAGGAGTGGAGGCAGACAGAGGTAGACTACATGGCCAAAAGTATGTGGTCACCTGTTCATCAAACATCTCATAAAAAAATCATGGGAATTAATATGGAGTTGGTCCCCGCTTTGCTGCTATAACAGCCTCCACTGTTCTCGGAAGGCTTTTCACTAGATGTTGGAACATTGCTGCGGGGACTTGCTTCCATTCAGCAACAAGAGCATTAGTGTGGTCGGGCACTGATGCTGGGCGATTAGGCCTGGCTCGCAGTCGGCGTTCCAATTCATCCCAAAGGTGTTCGATGGGGTTGAGGTCAGGGCTCTGTGCAGGACAGTCAAGTTCTTCCACACCAATCTCGACAAACCATTTCTGTATAGACCTCACTTTGTGCACGGGGGCATTGTCATGCTGAAACAGGAAAGGGCCTTTCCCAAACTGTTGCCACAGGTGGAAGGACAGAATCGTCTAGAATGTCATTGTATGCTGTAGCATTAAGGTTTCCCTTCACTGGCACTAAGGGGCCTAGCCCGAACCATGAAAAACAGCCCCAGACCATTATTCCTCCTCCACCAAACTTTACAGTTGGCACTATGCATTCAGGCAGGTAGCGTTCTCCTGGCATCCGCCAAACCCAGATACGTCTGTCAGACTGCCAGATTGTGAAGCGTGATTCATCACTCCAGAGAACGCGTTTCCACTGCTCCAGAGTTCAATGGCGGCGAGCTTAACACCACTCCAGCCAATGTTTGGCATTGTGATCTTAGGCTTGTGTGCGGCTGCTCGGCCATGGAAACCTATTTCATGAAGCTCCCGATGGACAGTTCTTGTGCTGACGTTGCTTCCAGAGGCAGTTTGGAACTCGGTAGTGAGTGTTGCAACCGAGGACAGACGATTTTTACGCATTACGTGTTTCAGCACTCGGCGGTCCCGTTCTGTGAGCTTGTGTGGCCTACCACTTCACGGCTGAGCTGTTGTTGCTCCTAGACGTTTCCACTTCAAAATCACAGCACTTACAGTTGACCGGGGCAGCTCTAGCAGGGCAGAAAGTTGACGAACTGACTTGTTGGAAAGGTGGCATCCTATGACAGTGCCACGTTGACAGTCACTGAGTTCTTCAGTACGGGCCATTCTACAGCCAGTGTTTGTCTATGGAGGTTGCATGGCTGTGTGCTTGATTTTATACACCTGTCAGCAACGGGTGTGGCTGAAATAGCCAAATCCACTAATTTGAAAGGGTGTCCACTTACTTTTGGCCATGTAGTGTGTGTATCTAATGGGACCTCGTCTCCATAGATGTTAGTACTTCAGGTCAATTATTCTCCTGGATGGATTAGAGCAGATGTACTGTATCTCATTGTCTCTAGTTATGAAACAATGCACTCGTCTTTCATTCACTCCCTCAGCTCTTCTATAAGTCCCATGCCAAATACCCCCCCCCCCCCCCCCCCCCTTCGCTGCTTGACTGAGTGTGCAGGGATGAATGTGATATATAATCTGACTTGATGAGATCTGATCAGGCTGTAGTCCAATGGGGTCAATTATTTCCTGGGATAGAGTTGGGCTGGCATATTGTTTTATTCCTATATTTATTCAACTGTGTTTCATTGAGAGCAATGTATTTTTCAAGGATGGTCTCTCTCTGGCCAGCCTATTTCTGGTGACTGTCTCTCTGGCCAGTTTATCAGTCTGGCCTATATGTCCACCCTGATGGTCTGCCAGGTTTATCTGTCCATGCTGGTCTCTGCCAGGCGGTTGTTCATGATGCCCAGGGCACCCACCCCTCCAGAAAAGCCGTTGTGGCGGGAGTTGGATCCAGATTGGCGAGGTTGACCATTAGCCATCTCTGACAGCTGCTTCTGCATGATGGCCAGGTTTACCTGAGAAATGGAGAGAGAGAGGAGAACTACTCTCAATGGCCTTCGTCAAACAAGTGCCAGACACAAAATATAGCAGTAAAAAGAAAGCCATTGATATAGCAGAAAAGCTGACCACCTGGGCAAGGACCAGGAATAGTTTGTGTTCCACATATGCTTTATAGTGTGGTTCACAGTACGAAATGCTCCAGGATCTGGAGCCCTAAGTATTTGGAAGTATTTGACATATGCATTTGACCCAGGTCTTATCTGGGAGCAGTATACATTGAGCGATCATGTCCTCCATCTTTCCTCCACCTTATTAGCAGCCAGGAAGTCTCTCATCGAGATCATCTCTCCAGACATCCTCCGCCCATCTGCCTCGCTCTCATTCACCACGTCTGTCTCGATGGACAGATCCCGCTGCGCCCTCAGGTGTCCGGGCACTACCACGTTCCTGCGGGGGTGTCTCTGCTGGGGGTGGTGGCCCCCCCTCCCCGGGCAGTGACATGGTGCCTCCATCCTCCTCAACAGCCAGTTCAGCACCTAGAATGAGATTAATAATAATAGTAATACATACTGAACAAAAATAAAATATAAACTCAACATGTAAAGTGCTTGTCTCATGTTTTATGAGTTGAAATAAAAGATCCCAGAAATGTTCCATATGCACAAAAAGCTTATTTCTCTCAATTGTTGTGCACAGATTTGTTTACATCCTTGTTAATGAGCATTTCTCCTTGGCCAAGATAATCCATCCACCTGACAGGTGTGACATATCAAGAAGCTGATTAAACAGCATGATCATTACACAGGTGCATCTTGTGCTGGGGATAATAAATGGCCACCCTAAAATGTGCTGTATTGTCAAACTACACAATGCCACAAATGTCTCAAGTTGAGGGAGCATGCAATTGGCATGCTGACTGCAAGAATGTCCACCAGAGCTGTTGCCAGATAATTTAATGTTAATTTATCTACCATGTCGTTTTAGAGAATTTGGCATTATGTCCAATTGGCCTCACAACCGCATACCACGTGTAACCATGACAGCCCAGGACCTCCACATCTGGCTTCTTCACCTGCAGGATCGTCTGGGGGGGGGGGTGCAGAGGAGTATTTCTGTCTGTAATAAAGCCCTTTTGTGGGGAAAAAACGAATTCTGATTGGCTGGGCCTGGCTTCCCTGTGGGTGGGCCAATGCCCTCCCAGGCCCACCCATGGCTGTGCACCTGCCCAGTCATGTGAAGTCCATAGATTTGTGCCTAATTTATTTATTTCAATTGACTGATTTCCTTATATGAACTGTAACTCAGTAAAATTGTTGAAATTGTTGCATGTTACGTTTATATTTTCATTCAGTATATTTCTAAGCACAATTTTAACCTGGGTGCCAGTCTGTTTCTGCTCTCCTGCCAAGTCTGTATGGAATCATCATGACAAACAGTTGGCGTGACAATATGGGTGTGTTCGTAAATTGGCTAGCTTGAGAGAACACCTCACTCTGACCATTTTACTCGCTCTAGCAGAGCTGATTGGGCTGTTTTCATGTTGTCTAGAGCATTGGTGACTCAAACTGTGCTGCTGGCAACAACTGAATTACGTTTTTTTGCAGACGTTTATTGACACCGGTCATATTCAGCGGGTGTTGCGCGTTTGCAAATTCAGCACTTATTCTGCGCTCTGGCACACTCAGATGAGAGTGCTCTGAACTCGGAGTAGATAGCCAGAGTGAATTTACGAACGCACCACGGAGTTGGCAAGCTAGCACAACCAGATGTTGGACCAGGGCCTAGAGTCACTCTACATAATTAAACGGTTGAATCGATAAAAACCATCCAATCACACAATAACGATAACAATCCCACCTGTTTGATGACGATGGAGATGACGTTGAACAGCGAGTAGATACAGCAGACGCCTGTCAGTATAAAGAGGAAGTTGCCCAGCCGGTAGGCCATCTGGTTCATGTTCCCCTCCTCGTACGCCAGCCTCTGGCTGCTCACCACGTCCCCGAACCCGATGGTGCTGAACGCCACAAAGCAGAAGTACAGAGAGTCTAGGTACCCCCAGCCTTCTACAGCAGAGTACATTGCTGAGGCGCTGCAGGAAACCAAGATGGCAGCGGCGCCAAGGATCAGCATCACACAGTATACCGAAGGCTTCCACCCGGCTAGCCACTCCCCCCTGCCACCTCTTCCGCCCCCGTCGCCTCCACCGCTGCCCTCAGAGAGGCGTCGGCAGCCATTTTGAGGGAGCACAGCCTTGCGGCGGCGGCGGCGCTCATGGCAGAACTTGAGGACGAAGGCGATGACGGTGATGACGCGCTCCAGGAAGAGGTTGAAGAACAAGATGGTGGCGGCACAGCCGATGAGGCCGTAGAAGATGAGGAAGATCTTACCACCGATCGTCGCTGGCGTGGTCATCCCAAACCCTGGACAACAAGATGGAAGAAGATGTTATTATTAAGAAAACAGAATGAGAAGAATATTGGTAAAAACTAGTAATGATGTTTTTGCTTGCATTTATTAGCTATTACATCATTGGATAGATACTTTACCATTAGAAAACAAAAGTGTGACAAAGGAAACTGAATCATACTGAACAATGAATGCAGTATGTTGTTTAGTTACATTATTTTCAAAGATCCTGTTTATTCACAATCCCAAACCAGTCAGTCTGAGCGCGTTTCACAGACAGGTGGAAAAGCACATTATGAGTTGGAGCAACGCTCACACGGCACAGTCCCCAAACACAAGTATCATGCATATTGATCATTCTGAAGGCGTTTTACCAGCTGCATTCAGGGTCACATCTTAGCAACACAGCTCAAATATTGAACGGGACCCATTTAACGCCATCTAAATATTTTCTGTGTTGTCTCTAAACATTTACAGGTTGTGCTCTCCTTGTGGGTTACACACACAGCTCTTATGGACTGATGTACAGAGAGCACAGCCGTAATCAATCCTTTGATGAGTCCAGTCAATCCAGTCCAGCCCTTGACTGCTCTATCTGTTCTCTGTGAGTTTTCACTCCCCATTTAACAATGGGCACTCAGGGGTAAAAAAGGTCTCTCTCCATTTACTTCCATTCACTGGCTGCCTCTCGGCTTTCACCCAAAATCAATGGATTCACAGTGCAGGACATCCTTTCATTCCCTTATCAGAGTACAATAAGTATGGTTATATATCCTACTCTATTTGAAGCAGTATGGTTATATATCCTACTCTATTTGAAATTACAGAACAGAAATGTGCTGTATTTAGTATTTCTGTACTGAATACAAATGCGTTAGCTGAGTTTGTCCAAATCCATGTATTTTCTTTGTTGACATGCAATAAAGTAATTTAGAGACATTAAAGCATTTAGCTGTGTTGCTTAGCTATAAAGGGTTTCCAAACTCGGTCCTGGGGGCCCCCCTGGGTGCACATTTTGGTTTCTGCCTGGTCTACACTACAGGTCCAATAGCCCAGGGTTTCCCAACCCTCTCCTCAGCCCCCCTAGATGTTTCACATTTTTGTTTTAATCTTAAACTGGCACATCTGATAAAATTAGTCAAAGACTTGATGATTAGTTGACTCATTGAATTAGGTGTGCCAGTTTAGGGTTAAAACAAAAACATTTAAAGTTCTGGTGGAGCCCAAGGAGAGGGTTGGGAAACCCTGCAAATAGCCTACTGTTCCTTTTTAAATTATTTCTAAGAACCACATGTTTTGGAGAGCTGAAAACATTTATAATAGTACACTTTTAATTGACATATAATATTGTCCCAAGTAAATATATATAATGTAGTATCACTAGCCTTCAGCTTTGATTCATGCTGTTGGACATGACATTTATAATATGTGATAGTGATGGGATCTATAGGCTACGGCAAATCTCACCTATGGTCGAGACCACGGTCCCCACGAAGTAGAACGCACCGGTAAAGTCCCACCTAGGTCTGATGGTGTCCACGCGGATCCCGGCCACGTTCGCCTCCTCATAGTTCCTCAAGAAGTTGTTCAACTCTTTCTTGCTCAGGTTATACTTTTGGGTGAACTGTTCAAACCGCTGCGCCCAGCGCTCCTTCGCCTCCGCTTCCATAGGCTGTTCCAGTGCTGAAAAGACAGCGGCACCGCAGAGGAGGTAGAAGGTTATGAACACAGCTAACATCAGGAACCTGGCGTTATCCTCGTTGAAGGGACCGAAGCCACAACAGCAGCAGCTCCGGCAAGCCATTATTTAGGCTAATCACCGTTCAACAGGTGTTAGGGACGCGACGCATCGTTTTATTATGGAACAAATTACACACTCCTCATCATCCGTCTTTAGGTTTATCGTTGAAAATAAAAAACAGGTTCAGGATAGAAACGGGTGAAATAGAGTTGGAGGCTGTGGAGATAGAGAGCAGAGAGCCAGAGAGACAAATATAATAGTTTTCCTCGGAGATTCAACAGTTGTTCACATCACTGTGAAATGTTGGTCATTCATTTTTTTTTTAACACAACAGTACCCATCAAAAGTTGTCAAGGCTCTTTGACCATTAATCCAAGTCCATGTCCGTTATTATCTGTTACAATAAACATATGGCGTCATCCTTCACGTTTGTGCGCTTGTCCAAAAGAAAAACATTAATTTTAACCTCCCTGATATAGAGTTCAAATGTTGTTAAAAAAAAATGCGCACAGTTGAAAAGGTCCTTTTAGCGGTGTACAAACGGAAAAAATAAAATGTCACGTCGTTTTTCGAGAGCACCAACATGTGGCTGTGTGGATAGCAAAATAGTTTATGACGATGCATTTGAGGCGCACCCTCGCTCCGTCTCAAAAGAACGCCCCTCTAGCAGAGTGTTGAGAAGAAGACTTTCGAGTAGCTTACACTGAATATAATTTCTCATCGAACGGTGAACTCTGTATAAACCCACCGAAAACCCAAGGCTGTTACACTCAACGTTAAGATGTTCTGTCCGTCTGCAACAGTGCGCGTCTGTCTAACTGATCTCCACCTCGACTAGGCTACACACTCTGAACAAGCCTCAGTCACAAACCCACACCCACCTCCTTCGCTGTTCAGGTGGAGACTAAGTGGAAAATGATTGGAGCGAGGGGAAATATTTAGACTTTTATATGACCTTTACATAGAGTGAGGGAAAAAAGTATTTGATCCCCTGCTGATTTTGTACGTTTGCCCACTGACAAAGAAATGTTCAGTCTATAATTTTAATGGTAGGTTTATTTGAACAGTGAGAGACAGAATAACAACATAAAAATCCAGAAAAACGCATGTCAAAAATGTTATAAATTGATTTGCATTTTAATGAGGGAAATAAGTATTTGACCCCTCTGCAAAACATGACTTAGTACTTGGTGGCAAAACCCTTGTTGGCAATCACAGAGGTCAGACGTTTCTTGTAATTGGCCACCAGGTTTGCACACATCTCAGGAGGGATTTTGTCCCACTCCTCTTTGCAGATCTTCTCCAAGTCATTAAGGTTTTGAGGCTGACGTTTGGCAACTCAAACCTTCAGCTCCCTCCACAGACTTTCTATGGGATTAAGGTCTGGAGACTGGCTAGGCCACTCCAGGACCTTAATGTGCTTCTTCTTGAGCCACTCCTTTGTTGCCTTGACCGTGTGTTTTGGGTCATTGTCATGCTGGAATACCCATCCACGACCCATTTTCAATGCCCTGGCTGAGGGAAGGAGGTTCTCACCCAGGATTTGACGGTACATGGCCCCATCCATTTTCCCTTTGATGTGGTGAAGTTGTCCTGTCCCCTTAGCAGAAAAACACCCCCAAAGCATAATGTTTCCACCTCCATGTTTGACGGTGGGGATGGTGTTCTTGGGGTCATAGGCAGCATTCCTCCTCCTCCAAACACGGCGAGTTGAGTTGATGCCAAAGAGCTCGATTTTGGTCTCATTTGACCACAACACTTTCACCCAGTTCTACTCTGAATCATTCAGATGTTCATTGGCAAACTTCAGACGGGCATGTATATGTGCTTTCTTGAGCAGGTGGACCTTGCGGGCGCTGCAGGATTTCAGTCCTTCACGGCGTAGTGTGTTACCAATTGTTTTCTTGGTGACTATGGTTCCAGCTGCCTTGAGATCATTGACAAGATCCTCCCGTGTAGTTCTGGGCTGAATCCTCACCGCTCTCATGATCATTGCAACTCCACGAGGTGAGATCTTGCATGGAGCCCCAGGCCGAGGGAGATTGACAGTTATTTTGTGTTTCTTCCATTTGCGAACAATCGCACCAACTGTTGTCACCTTCTCACCAAGCTGCTTGGCGATGGTCTTGTAGCCCATTCCAGCCTTGTGTAGGTCTACAATCTTGTCCCTGACATCCTTGGAGAGCTCTTTGATCTTGGCCATGGTGGAGAGTTTGGAATCTGATTGATTGATTGCTTCTGTGGACATGTCTCTTTTATACAGGTAACAAGCTGAGATTAGGAGCACTCCCTTTAAGAGTGTGCTCCTAATCTCAGCTCGTTACCTGTATAAAAGACACCTGGGAGCCAGAAATCTTCCTGATTGAGAGGGGGTCAAATACTTATTTCCCTCATTAAAATGCAAATCAATTTATAACATTTTTGACATGCGTTTTTCTGAATTTTGTTGTTGTTATTCTGTCTCTCACTGTTCAAATAAACCTACCATTAAAACTATAGACAGATCATTTCTTTGTCAGTGGGCAAACGTACAAAATCAGCAGGGGATCAAATACTTTTTTCCCTCACTGTATGAGCGCAAAATAAAATCAACATGAAGCTACTGTACAAACTTCAGCTTTCATAGAACATTAATATAAAAAACATCCAAGTGTAGCCTGTTGCAAACAACTTAACATGAACAACTGTGAATTTACAAAGTGATAAAGTCAGTAATGATTACATAACTTACGTATTAAAAATAAATTCACAGTTGTAATTTATTAAAAAAATTACCGAATGAAAACATTCTGGTTAAACTATCAAGTTGATCAAGACACTGGCCACCATGTGACTTGAGGAGCCGGCAACAATGCTAAGCATGATTCCAACATTTGGGCAGTCTCCTGCAGCGGTCATTCCCCAGAGCATTAGAGAACGGCACCGTGACGTCTTCTGTCATGGATCAATATGACTTGACCTTTCAGATCTGGGTCTGAACATTCATATGTTTGCACATGGGACATCCAGGGACGATCTGAGCAAATGTCACTACTGTGGAACAAGCTGTTAAAATGCATTATGCACATCAGAGGCAGATGGGAAAAAAAAGGCTATTTTTAAATTATATCCTGCTTTGGATGGTTAGTGAACATAATCATAACATTTGTGGTGTAGATTTGAGGCACAGCATTTCAGCACCATGTACAGCTAATACTTGCAGACAGAGCAGCGCCCATTCAGATCTCAGACAGTTTTTTAGCCCTGAGGGTACATTTGACAGGATGATTTGCAGCATGCCCACCAGGCTGTGCTGTTACAGAAGGCCACTATTTAGATTTTAAGTTAACCCCAACATTTCTGGTGGAAGTGGTTGTAACTTTGGCACACACTTTGAGGCTGAGAATGTCAGCACCATAGACAGGGTGTTACGCGGAGTGGAACAGGGGAACCCAAGAGCAGACTCAGACAAGGATACTGGGATGAAATAACCAAGGTATTTACTGGACAAGACAGGTTTAATCAGGGATAAGTGGAAGGTAGGATGGATCCTGAGAGAGGCTGGGAGTTTCAGGCGCACCGCAGAGGGGTTAATGACACGGTCAATTTCAAATGGACCAATGAATCAGGGGGAAAGTTTCTTCGATGCCTCCTTCAATGGCAGGTCCTTCGATGAGAGCCATATCTTTTGACCCGGGGTGTAGACTGGAGCTGAGGCCCGGCGACGGTTGTCTTGGGACTGGGTCCTGTCTGAGGCACGAAGAAGGGCAGCCCTTCCTTCAGGTACGGTGACAACGACGCAGATGGTCCTGGACAGAGGGAACCGCAACCTCAACCTCTTGGGCGGGGAACAAGGGGGGTAGGTAACCCAGAGCACACTCGAAGGGTGACATACCTGACGAGGCTTGGTGAGGGTGTTGTGGGCATATTCAACCCAGGGTAGCTGAGCGCTCCAGGAGGAAGGGTTAGCAGAAGTCACGCAGCGTAGGTGCAGTCTCCATCTCTTGGTTGGCCCGTTCGGTCTGGCCGTTGGTCTGGGGGTGATATCCAGAAGAAAGACTGCCATTGATACCAAGAGCTGAACAGAAGGATCTCCATAAGTGAGTGTGAAATTGAATCTACCGAAGAACAAGGTCCACCTGGCTTGCCGGGAGTTCAGACGTTTGGCGGTCTGGATGTAGGACAGGTTTTCATGGTCAGTCCACACGATGAAGGGGGTTACTGAGCCCTCCAGTCAGTGGCGCCATTCCTCCAGAGCCAGCTTAACTGCCAGGAGTTCCCGGCTTCCGATGTCAAATTTCCTCTCTGCAGGTGAGAGTTTACGGGAAAAGAATGCACATCGGTGGACCTTCTGATCAGAGGGTGAATGTTGAGACAGAACAGCACCTACACCGGTGTCAGAGGCGTCCATTTCACGATGAACTGTAGTTCTGGGTCGGGCTGTGTAAGGAAACGACGCTTGAGTTCCGGGAATGCTACCTCTGCCTCAGGAGTCCAGTGGAACGGAGTGGAGGGGGAGGTGGAGGGGGAGGTGGAGGTGAGAGTGGTGAGAGGTGCTGCCAGACGGCTGTAGTTGCGGATTAAACATCCCTTGGAAGGGGTCCATATGTAACTGTCCCTGTGCAATGATATAACCCAGGAAAGACACTGTGGCAGCATGGAACTCACATTTTTCAGCTTTAACAAAAAGATCATTCTCCAACAGCCATTGAAGAAGTTGGCGAACGTGTTGCTGGTGAACCTCAGGGTCCTTGGAAAAAATCAGCGACAGAGCGTGGTGCTTGGTGAAGAGCTAGATCGTGATACTCGGGAGGAACTGATGACAGGTCCGGAGGTTCTGGAATGAACTGGGACACAGACAAGGCAGGGAGAAGGGCAGAATGTAAACAATTAGAGTGACAAAATGAACTCCAAGTGGTTACCTTTCCGGTGGTCCAGTCAATCTGTGGGTTGTGTAGCTTTAACCATGGATGGCCAAGAACCAGGGGAGAGTTAGGACAGTCGATTATGTGGAAACTGATCTTTTCCTGGTGATTTCCAGAGAGATGCAGGATGACAGGGACGGTTCTCTCACAGACACGTGTAAGGAGCTGTCCATTGAGAGCATTGGCATCGAC